AAATAATAGTTCAATAAAATTTTTAATGTGAGTCAAGAAATGAGATGACATGGTCTTTCACCTATGACCCATCTTGAAAGGGTTGATGTCATGTTTTTCCTTTCTAGATGAATTATGCTGATAAGTAGTGTGCACAGTTATATAAAAGTTATATAAAAGACAGTTATATAAAAGACTGTCCTCTTTACTAGGACATTTAGTTACCAAAATGACTGTTAATGACTTGCTGTAGAAAATACCAAAAATATACATTTTAATATGCTGTTGTATATCTAAGCTACTTGATATTTTGCCTAACATATACCTATGGTTAATGGTGAAAAAAAAAAAATAATACTTTTATTAGTGACTAAAAAAAAATTAAAATTCAGAATATTGATGTGTTTTGGATGATTTATTTTTCTTTGTTGTTTAACAGCTAAGAAAACTGTGGGACTTCAAGGACAGAAAGGAACTATATTTTATCCTGAAGGATTTTCTTCATATGTTATATTTCAAGTAAGTATGTTTTTCAGTGATTTTATTAATTTTTAGAGTAGGAGAAGATTAAAAGAAAGTAGGGAAATCTAACTGTCCTCCCCACAAAAGGAATGAAACTGGTATGTTCTCAGAGGTTTTTTTTATCTGTTTTTGGCCAAGTGTAATTATCAGTTTCCTTTCAGGACATATCATTTTTAGTCTTATCAGAATTCAAGAAATTTTTGTAGCTAGTATTAATAACAAGACCCGAACTTCAGTTTATCTACAGTCAACATCATGAGTAACCTGAGTCATGCAGAGTGCTAAGCCTGAGTATAAAAAGTAGGGCTAGATCTACTTTCATTACAGGGCTCAAATTAATGCTAGCAAACAGGCATATTGCTGCTTAGTGTTGTAGTTTTGTTAGTAAAACTAAGAAGATACTAATAAAAATAGGTAATATGCCTCTCAGAAGGTATATTTGCAGATTTTTACTGTCGCGTATCAATACACCTGTGATACGTGCATTTCAGTCATTTATATTGAAAGTTCTGAGTATACCAGGTTACTATAATTGTGATTCACAAGATTGTTTTACTTTCTGGTATCATGCTAGTTTAGCAATCCCCATTTTAGCTACATGACATACCCAGGAAATAGATATAGCAAGAATGCATTGTCAACTCATTTAGTTGGTTACAAAGGCAATTATCACTTGGGCAAACTAGTTTAGACTCACACTATCTGGCATCTGCAGGGTAATTTTTCCAGCAATGTTGTTAGAAATTTTGTGCCTAAGTGGTTGCTTATTGGAGGGCATAATTAAATATAAATAAAATAAACTGTTGAGGTTTTTTCTCTTCTACATTTCTTTTAATTTGTCCATGATCAACACAAATGTTAGGCCTATTTTCTTCTAATGCTTCACCATCTTTCGAAATTCAAACTAACATTTGAGTAAAAAATATATATTTTAATATAGATTGGCTGTTAGCAGTGGGGTACTGTAGACTTTGTCTATTCAGTTCATGCTTGAATCAAGCATCTTTTAACTTTTGTGAAGTAATTAAAATAAAAACAGTTACATGTAATTAAAATAAGTTTGATATTTGAAAATACTTAAAAAGAACACGTGACACAAAAGATTTACGTGTGTAATTAGAACACACACACACACACACATATATATATATATATATATATATTTATTAACATTTATCATGTGAAATAATTATAACTCAAGTACTGTTAATTTTATGGAAAAATTTATGTTGGTAGTAGTAATTCCAAATTTCATAATGAGAAAGAAGTAACTAGTAACACTTGCCTTCAAAGGTTAAGATCAGGGCCAACATTAAATCAAATTTTCACTTAAATTCAATGTAACATTTTTCTTGTCAACAATTTTATATTGAAAACTAGTAAATAAAATTAGTACAGTAGAAAAAAAATGGTTGGAAGCCAATGCAGGTGATCTACTTTGAATATTTGATTAAAATACGTTCTAGTGTATGAATAAAAGCAACTCTCTCAAATGTTGACAATATGTAAAGAAAAAAAAAACGGAACAGTTATAACTCTTAAACATGTTAATTGACAATGAGATTATATTCTACTTATTGTGATCCTTAAAAAGAAGGTCTAGTTCAGTTTAGCAAAATTAGGTTTAAATTTATCAGGCTGGTTCATGGGTATAATGTGTTGAATATTCTTTACTTCTACAGTCTACCTCGTTCTTCTGATGGCACTGAGTAATCTAAGTTCCAAAGAATGCTTTATGATTAGATTAATAAACAGGCTGGATGCAAGTTCTATGAAATTCAAACCAACATGGTGATTATTTGTAGGCAAATAACACAAGAATAACATTCATTTTATGCAAGGAAAATTATCGATATGTTGAAAAAGTTGTCTAATTCCTGATGAGCTGTAGAGGATGAAACACTTTACTTGAATTTTGACACTTAAGAAAAAGGGCAAAGGTGAAAATAACTGTAGGAAATCCAGTTCTCTGAGTCTTATCACGTTCACGACATCGTGCAACATTGGTGGTACATTTGTATGTTTTCTGTTAGACGTCGTGTGCTACCCGTGGTACACAGCACCCATAAGATATAACTGTGCCTTCTATCTACAAAGTTCTGTATGAAAGTATTTATTTTGTATGAATGGTTATAATAAAGCAACTCCTTCCATGATGTATCACTGGTGGAGCACGTATGCCATGTTGAAAGGACAACTGAAATGAAACAAATTTACATGATTAAATCACTTTTAATTGTGAGTAAATGAAGCGAAAAACAACTAACTAACTGAGGCTTCTTTCTTAAATAAAAACTGTAATATAATAAGGATAGAAATGAAATGGAAATATAATTTTCATAGTGACTAAGTGTAGCTAAAAAAACTGATTAGACATTGTTTTTTAGAAAGTCTTTTATGAAAATTGGAAAAAAGATAGACAATGAATATTTTAATTCATTCTAATTTTCATTTATGTTTGTCATTGAAACACTCCAAGCACATTGCAGGCTTCACATCACAGTCTTTGAACTATTATCATCCACAGTAGGGATTATTTTATCTAATGTTCCTTTTTTACAATTGTAAAATTGTGAAATATTCATAATTCTTCTAAAAAATGACAAAATTACTCTGAGAAAAGTAAAAGATATTAAATATCATGATCAATGGATTATTATTATTATTTAAATCATAGTGTGCACAATTGATGGTGCACTCAAGAGAAAGTTGTCAATGGAGTCATTCTTTCATAAAACATAACATAAAGGCATAAAATTAGCAGTATCTAAGACAGGGTTTACAATGAGGCTTTACGTTTCTATTGCATAATTAGGGAAGTCAGTTACTCCACGAAAGTGTTAAGGACACTCCTGCTTTTTTGTGTCTGTAATTGTATGTTATCTGCTGTGTAAGTACTGAAAATGTTAAGGTAGAATACGTTTTCTTGTTAGTTAATTTTTGCAAATACTCTAACAAAATTTGGTATTAAAGAGATAGTTATATGACAAAATCAAGCAAGGTGATGGAAACCATTTGGGCAAGTTAGATCACCTCAGATCTTTAGACAGCAAAACTAAGCAGGTATTAATCTTAACATTTAACATCATTTACAAAAACGTGCAAGAATCCAAACTATCATCTCATACAATTTCATTAGGTAAATTATTTTTCAGTTTGACAGTTTTAAGAGCACAAATTTTCCTAATAAGTAGTTCAGTTTTGAAAGAATGTGCTTATTAACTTTAATTTTTTATTTACCAGTTTTAAATTAAATTATTTTAAAAAACTTCTATTAGGTAGCCTATTAAAGACCCAAGCAATTTTAAAATCTTGAATCAAATCTCTAGTTCTTTTGACTAGTGGAAACAGGTGAAATTGTTTTAGCCTTCTGGCAATTTTGTTGTTGTTGTGATATGAAAAGGGATATCTCTTTTTCTAAAAATCTTCAAAATATTTTAGAGTATGAAAAATCATCAATGCCAATAGAAAATTTCCTTATAATCATGAACTGTAATGAAAAAAATATATATACATGTATTTGAGAAAATCAAGCTTCAACCATTTTTGAGATAAACTTAGAAATCAAAGTTAAGAATATCAAGTTTGCTTGTTAATTCTGACCTTGGTATTGCCTGTGATATTTCAGAAGTTAACCTAATTAAGGTCTTTTGTATTTTGTATTATCTAAACTGTAGTAAACACTATGCAATTGAGTTACAAGACAAAATGCTTTCAATGAAAAAAAGAAAAATAACAACAAAAAATTAATATAGTTTTGTTGAATTCAAATTCCTTTTGAAGTGGGGGCCTGGCATGGCCTGGTGGTTAGGGTGCTTAACTTGCAATCTGAGGGTTGTGGGTTTGAGTCCTCATCAGCAAACCTGCTCGTCCTTCCAGCCATGAGGAGTTATTATGTGATTAGCAATCCCACTATTTGTTGGTAGAAGAACAGGCCAAGAGTTGGTAGTGGGTGTTGTTCACTAGCTGCCTTCCCTCTAGTCTATTACTGCTAAATTAGGGATGGCTAGCACAGAAGTTTTATGAGAAATTCCAAATGAATCAAACAAACCTATTGAAATTTTGGAATAGTGTCACTTTACTGCCTTTTGAAAGAGATTTACAATTTGTTTAGATCATATAAAAACTTATTGTGCCTTTCTTATCTCTCCTCTGCTTTTCATTTTCTTTTAATTTTGAATTGGTGACATTTTATTTCATTCAAAACTTAGTAATTATCTGTGATTTTACAGATATCTTGTGGTGAATCCTAAGGACAGAAGAGTTGTTATTGTAGAATCCATATTATGTCAAACAGACTTCAGAGAGGTTCTTGCTAAAGTTCTCTTCTGTCATTTTGAGGTGAGGATATAAACTTATATGTCTAGTTTATTTTATATTTTGTTTTTACTTGTATAGAGTAAAACTTTATTGACTGTTTGTTAACTAAATCATTAAAGTGAAATAATGATTGAACACAAGGTTTTATTTTATTAATTGCTAACCATGTTTTTTTTATTGTTAAAAATCCTGTAGTACATAGTTATTATCTTGTCTATAAAGCTTCATTTTATAAATTGCTTCTCATTCAAAAGTTAGTAAATAATTAAATTATAGAAAAAATAAACTTTTTTTTTATTTAACTATCTGGAGCAGTGAGCAGCTTTCAGATGTCAAGTGCAAACCTGTGTATCAGATTTTAAAATTTAAGTAAATATTTTTTACTCACAAGTATTTCATAACTGACATTTTGTCATGTTTTAAACATTTATTTAGAGTAATTCACGAAGAAAAGTGGAAAAATGGTCAAACTTTTATTTCTGCACAGGTTTGATGAGTCTCACTTATAATCAACATACTTATTTAGTTTTTAACATTTTTCTATCCATCCTAAAGCATAGGTTTGTATTTACTAAGAAAGAATTATCCATTGAGAATATGATTCTCAAGATTTTGTTTTTCACATGATTTTCACAGCATGTAATTCAAAATACCATTCTGCTTTGAAAACAGCTACAGGCAAAACATAACTAGTATTGAATAAGCAAAATTTAAAAATTTATGTCAATTAGAATGAATATGATGTGTGAAAAGTAATTTGTAGTTTTTTGAGAACATGATCAGATGTGGCTGCTCCAGATAAGATCATCAAAATTTAGTAGGAAGTTTTTAAGACTTAGAAACAAGTTACAGATCTCAGATTGTTTTTGTAGATTCTTTAGATGTTATTTTCATTTCTGATAATATCTCTATGCTAAGTTATATTTATTTGTAAACTATGGAAATTTTCATCTGTGACAAGACATCAGGTAAACGTATGGTTTAGAGAGCACAGTAGATTACAAAATGTCGTGATGACTAAAATGGGACTAAACTTCTTATATATTGAATATTATTGTTAAGTGTATGATATTCAAACAACATAAAGAAATGAAATAACTTATTATTTATTGAAAGGAAAGTATGTTTATTATATATGAATTGATCTTGATTAAAAATATTCTTAACAAAAGTATTGTCATCTAGCATGACCTGAAGCCATCAATAAATCTTTTTTTTTCTGTATTTGTTGCAATTTGTAGCCACAAGTAGTGACTAATAAAGTCAGTAAATTAAAGATAAAAAGAATATGTTAACAAAGATGCAAGTTGAAACTGACCGTATATATATATAACAGAACATTCTTTTCAACAATAAAAAAATTGAGATTCTAATATGGAAGGAAGTATTTAATGTGTTTTGAAAACATTGTCTCTCAATACAGTTTGGAAATATCACAATGTAAAAAAAAAATATAGAAAAAGTAAATCAAATTAAGCTGAAACTAGTTGCAGTAGAAGCTTTATTTTCTGGCATCTGCCATACTTTAGTGTGACACAGAGGCACAAATTCTATTACAATATTTTACAGGAAAATTTTTGACACCATGTTAATGTTCTATAATATTGTGTTTCTACATCATCTTTAACAGTTTTAAACAATAATAAATGTTGTGAAACACCTTAAATTGTAAAAAACATTAATTTCGTGCCATAATTAGAAACCATAATTTCAGGATATAGAAAATATTTACAGATAAAGTAATCATAAAGTGAATCACAGCTAACAATTGAAGGTTGCCAGTAAAGAGAACATAAACAAAGCCACAGCAGTGCCACTAAGTGAGAGCAGTGATAAATTGTTTTTGTTGGAATTTTCCACATTTCTGGAACTCGGCAATACAAAATTACAACTATTGCTACTTTATGAATACAAACTTATACACATATGCACAGAGTTTTAAATTTTTATGAAGTTTTCTGGGTGACAGGTTTTATGATATCTTTTACTAGCATATCACAGTTGTTGATTGGCAGTACCTTATTACATTGGTGAACAACAGCTATTTTGACTTCAAGATGCCTATCTTTCTCACTCCATTGTTTATAGAGAAACAACTATCCCAGTGCCAAGTTTATTTTTAGGTACGCAATTTAAAACAAAAAGAGGCATGTTTTAATATTTCAGAAATTCTGAAACTTGAAATTGATAAGCATTGGGAGGTTTGAATGGAAATACCCTTTTTTCATAATGGTACAAAATTCCAATGTCATGTGGTTAATATCACATTTTTCAAGGTTAAACAAAGGTTATATTATGTGTGCTGTATATGAGCCCCTGATAAATACCTTCATCTTGATTTTTGTTAGACCTGCTAATTTCAACTGTTGCAGTTGGATGCACTGTAGCAACTCAGAAAGTACTTGTAACAAGTTTGTAGTGTAATACCAAAGAAATTAAGTTAATTTTCACTCTATATACTTCAAATTTTTTATTTTGAATAAATACTACCTCTCACTGAATCAGGCAGTGACCCACGTAAACTGGTATCACTTCAATTCTACTAAACATTAGGTCCTCTGTTAGTAGCTGGCATGTAAGTCAGGTGACATAGGCTACAGTTGTAGTCTGTTTTAGTACATAATTTCATAACTCTTAAACAAAACCAAATTCTATACAAAGTTTAAAGAGAAGAAAGCAAAATTATGAGCAATATCTTTGTGTTCAGATCTTTTAGTTTTTTCTAGGTTAGATCTCCATATAAAATACTCATTACCTTATAAGGAAAAGAAGACCAAATTAAAGTTATAGTCAAGTGCTTATGGTAAGGTTATAGTGATTGGATATCAATTGTTGTCATAGTTACTCACTTATACTTAAACCTAAGTGGTTACTATAGTGGCACTGCTGTGGATTTGTTTACATTCTTTTCCACTGGCAAGCTTCAATTGTTAGCTGCCTGTGCTGTGGTTCACTTTACACTTACTTTATCTGGAAATATTTCCTGTGCAACTTCGACTAATGTCATGTAGTTTCTGTGAGTACACTTTTTCCACTAGGCATTAGACCTAAGATTTTGAGGTTGTAAGTTTGCTGGTCCACTAAGGACAAAAATATTTGTTATTAAATACAAAGTTACTTAATGGACCATCTGTGCTGGATTCACTGTGAGTATTGAAACCCAATTTTTTATCATTATAAACACTTATATTAACTGTGGAGCAACCATGGGGTTTTGTTGTCTTTTTCAATCCTCACTTTCTCGACAATGTGTGTTTTAACTCGGTCTCCGTGTGACTACAAAATTTTGATTGTGCCTGATCACAAATTTATATCAGTTTCAACATCAAGTTTGTACTTCTTGTGTTTCATTTCCACATAACCCAAGACACTTTCCCTGGATGTTTTTTGGCTGGGTGAACCACACTTGGTCTAATCCTATGTATCCAAGGTGTTTCCACTAGATGTTTTTTGCCTGAATGGACCACAGTTGGCATAATCTGACATATCACAAGGTGCTTCCCCTATATGTTTTTGCCAGAGCAGACCACACTTAGCTAAAATAACAAATGTTATGTTTCCAAGGCACTTCTCCTGAATGTTTATTGGCCAGGGCAGACATACTTGTTGATCTCACAAGTTTATGCAAGGTGCTTCCACTGGATGTTTTGCCAGGGTGGACCACACATGGCATAATTCGACATATCCCAAGGAACTTCCCCTGTATGTTTTATGTCCGGGTGGACTGCACTTGGCTTTTTCATATACAATTCACAGTGCTTCAGCCCTAGGCACGTATCGTTATTTCGATTTTCTCCGTCACCATACTATGGCTCACTATCACTATGTATGGTACTATGGCCTGCTACATATGTGGACAAAGTGTGACATATATCTTGACAACAAGCTGGTTATGAAAACTCTCATGATCACACTCATACCTGTAATTTTTTGTTTCATAATCCTACATATCCAAGGCACTTCCCCTGGATGTTTTTTGCCCGGGAGGACTGCACTTGTTGATCACACTATCTTATACAATGCGTTTCAACTGGAGGTTTTGCCTGGTTAGACCGCTCTTGGCATAATTTGATGTAACCCAAGGCACTATCTTTGGCACCTACATATATGGGTCCATTGTTGCTTCCACACTAGACTATCTGTGTTTGTCAATGCTGTACTGTTTCAAGTCATGGTTCTGCAGAACTTTTCCACTGATTCTGTGCTGTGTCTCTTTCCTGAATGCGTTAGTACCTGCCAATTCAGTTCCACCTTCTTTTTGTTCCTGTGTTAATTACTGGGCAAAGAGTATACCTGTTCCAGAAGTAGTGCTATACCCGAAGGTGTGCTTTCTTTTCATATTCTTGAACACCTGTTCTTTCTTTTGTGATACCTTTCTGCTTGATTGGATATTAATGCGCCTTCTCCAGTCCCTCCACCTTTGCAATGTGGGATTCTAACTTTGGGTGAGAGGAGGTAGGAATGTTTTGGAAGTTAACATTTTCTTACACTGAAAATATGTTTTTGATATGTACTTACCTCGTCTCACACACTTTCTACTCTTCTTCCCTACTGATATGCCAGTGTTTCTAGTTTGTACCTGCCAATTCTGGAAAGTGAGAATTGTTCTAGAATAATAGGAGCTAGCTGCACAAGTATAGATGGTGCAGTATGATTGGTGGAGGGTAGTCATATGATCAGCACATGTTATGAAATGGTGTGAAACTGATGGTGTATAAAAGACTGGTGTACTGTTACTGAAAAGTTTTAACAATGCTTAGAGGGCAGTCCAGGATTGAGATAGCTTTGCGTGAGAGGAGGTAAGTAGGTATCGAAAACACATTTCCAGTTTAAGAAAATGTTAAGTTTTGGTGTGTGTGTGTGTGTATATTAATGTACGTGGAATTTTAAATTTAAATTCTTAAATCCAGTATTGCCCCCAGATGGCTTAGTGATAGGTCTGAGAGCTTTTCATGTTACAAATTGGGTTTTAATACCCATGGTGGGCAAAACACAGATAACACATTGTGTAGCTTTGTACTTAACAATAAAAAGAAAATCCAGTATTATGCTTTTAATATGTCACTTAAGTATTTGTTTGGTTCCAAGAAATAAAATGACAAAGGCATATTTTGTTGCACAAAATCTAAAGTGTAATTAAAAGAGTATTTGCCTATCAATAAATCAAAGTTGTTTTTGATCTGTTACAAAATAACTTCGGATTGTTGTGTAATGTCCTGAAGTTAATAAATGTCAAATTGTTTTAAATGGAACAAATGTATTTACTTTTATGAAACTGATGTGTCTTTCTTGAATAACACTAAAAACACCCACACAACTAATTCTACAATTTTGGTTTCTTGTAAAGTGTTATACCCATAGTCAATAAGTGTAATACCAACTGCTGGAGGCCCATAGTAATAGTTGATGTTATCACTGTTATCATAAACTTATCTAACTTGAAAATATTTTTTTATTTTCTAATATATAGAGCATACTTAAAAAGCAGAAGGCCTTATTACTAAAGTATTTTTTTAAGTTTTTGTTTTTGCGTGTTTTGTTTGCTTGAAAATAGTCTCCCTTTTGATTCAAACATGAAGGCATACAGTGGAAGATCTCATTCTGCTCTAAAATTTCCAGACACTGAGTTTGTAAACTGCAAACCTCAGAGAAGGCTTTTTAACTGTTTTTTTGTTGCAGGCATGATGTTTCTTTAATATGTCTCCAGTTGCATAAGAAACAACTAAATACCCTAGAGTTATAGAAATAAAAAAATATTCTTGTAAAATAATTTCATATTTATTTCTTTTCATTGCTCTGAAGCTATGGCTGATTTTTTTTCAGTAACTAGGTTTCTGTTTTTCTGTAATTTTACAATGCTAACACTGGACAACAAAAACTTTGCTACTGGAGAAAACTCAAGTGATTCAGGGTAATTTGATGGTGCTGATTTCAAAAAATGTAGTTAGAATTTGGTTATCACCTCTAGATTTTGAGTTATTGTAATATCTCAATATTTTATTAGCACTGTGTGAAACACCATGCAATCAATTCAGTACAAGAGATTTATGCTGTGAAATTAAGTTTACTTGGACAGTTTAATGGATAAAAAGACATACATTTTTGATAACTTCAAACATTGACTATATTGTATTGGTGTAAAATTCCAAATATATTGTTCATATATGCTATGTGTTCTCTATAGAATTGTAGTGAATTGCACCACTTTTGCTTCATTCCCACACTCACCTGCTCTGTCTGAAAATCATAAACCCTTACGTGCTCAGTTTGCTAGAAGATTTGAGAAGTCCTTCAACTAACTATGATAGGGGGTGGGGTCAGATGCCTCTCACTCACTCAGATGGTTACTTTGCCTTACTCTGTGCACAGTCAAAACAAAGTCTAATCTTCTTCCTCGCATCACACCTACGATATAATCAAATTCTGCAAAACTTTTTTTTTAAATCTTTTAAACTCTAGTTCTGTAAACATAAATTCTTTTATATTTTTTAGAAAATCATTTGAAATGCTAGCTGCCTTCAGTTCAAGTAAGGTCCAAAAGTGCAAAAATCATCTAAACAGTTTTTGCTACATTTGTGGAAAATATACTACAGTTTCATGAAGGAAAGACATCAAATACAAAGTAAAGGTAGCTTACTACCACTATTTTGGGTGTAAATTTGGTAACCAAGAAAATATTAGCTCAACATGCGTGTTGTACAGTTCACACAATTGGCTTGACACAGTGGCTGAATAAGAAGAGAGCAAGTATGCCATTTGCAGTTCCCATGGTATGGCATAAGCCCAGAGATTATCTGTTATTTTTGCATTACTAAGGTTTCTCGATATTCAGGCAAAACTAAACAATACATTAAATATCCAGATTGTCAGAACTTAAAATGAAAAATATACATGTATATAACTTTCCTTTTTTGTCAAATAGAAGAGCTTTTAGTTATATTTCTTAATAGTATAAATATATACTATGTTGTTGTTGGGCGTAGGATTCTTCTACAGTAGGTATCTGTGACTTGTTAGTAATAAATTCAACGATGAATAAACAGCATGTCAATATATGATATTCTCAACATCAATGAATTATTTACAAAACTTCCTACAGTCATCTGCATTTAATTCTTATTATAACAAAAACTAAACAATAATAAAACATTCACTCACAAAACTAAATTAATCAATAATATCTGAACAAAACAGTCTTTTATATCATGACACAGATACTGCATCTGAGACGATAAAACCAATACCTCATGGGGATGGTCTTCTACTGCTACATCCACCAGCGCATTGGGAAGCAGAAGAGTTATCCTGCAAAGAAGACAATGATCTTCATCCTTTTCATCTAGTAATTCTATTCCTGTAGCACCTCAACATAAACTGCTTCATCTGATCACACAAGAAAAGCTAAATGATCTGATTTGTGACTTTTCTCTCTTAAAGCAGCATGGGAAACTGGCTCTTGTTTACAGCAATGGAATTTATTAGCTCCAGGAACAAGAGTTTCAATTTACCAAAGTCTTGCTTTTCACTACAACATTCAAGATACTTTGTGTTTCTGTAAAAATGTTGATGCGCTAAAGGAAAAATTAAGTACTGAACATCATCTTGAAGAATGGAGACTTTTTATCGATACATCTAAAGTTAGCCTGAAAGCTGTACTTTTGCACAATGGGAACACTAAGCCATTTATTCCTGTTGCTCATGATATGAACATGAAAGAAATTTATCAAGACATTCAGATTATACATTCTTAAATTCAATTTTCAATGAATAAATGAAGTTATTAAAGAAAAGTTATTTTTATGATATAAACGAATATTTTGAATAAATCTATTATAACTCAAAAATTAGAGGTGATCAGTAATTTTCAACATGATTTTTAAAATCAGTATTGTTAAATTATGCAAAAACAGTTGCATATTTTCAAGTAGCGGGTAAAATCATTTTTTGATTGCTCAATGTAATCAAAGGACTAAACTCAATTATGTTTTATTAGCTTTTTTAAATTTATGTCTTTAAATTTTATAATTAAAAGATACTCAATTACTGCACTGTTCTTGTTTTACTTAATATCAAAAAATTATGATTTATAAAATAATTTCTTGTTGAGTGAGTTTCACTGGACATATTGATGAGAACCAAATTATTCACCTAGTTACTATGAAGTCCAATTTTAAATTCTAATGTTTTGACTTTGATAAAAGTAACTGTAGAAATTTACTGTTCTTTTATTGTTGTTGTTTTTTTTATGGCCTAAAAATTGGAAAAAGTTTGTAAGAAGAGTGGTATATATCTTTAGTGATCTTAAAAAATTGGATATGCACATGCCACACACACACACACACACACTTATCTACTCATTCAAAACCTGAAGTATTTGCACTACATGCATCTAGCTTTAAAGTTAAAATCAGCATTCATGTTTTCTCCACTATATTATGATACAGACTATGAAATGAAACATCTTGTCATGATATGCGACTTTGTTATCCAACTTGAGCCGACATGTTTGTTTTCTTTCTTTTTCTTATATCTAGAAACTCGGTGAAGGGCTGTTGCTCATAATGTTGTTTTTGTATTTGTCAGTAAACTTATTTTAACTTAGAAGGTATTTCATTTTACTTGTTTTCTTCTACATGTTTATTACATTTTGCATCAATCTAATAGGTTGTTTTAAAGGGAAAGAAAAGTGGTTTGAAGGTAGTATTGTACAGGAAAGACCAAGGAAGACAGTGTAACTGAGATGGGAGTGGAAGAAGAAAATTTTCTATAAAAATAATATGTATTTAAAGGTTTCAAAGAAGTAACCTTCAGTGGTCAAAGTATACAAGTTATTTAAGCAAAACAGTTTTGCAAAGTTTCTAACTTCACAATATGATATATCACCCTTAAGATTTCTATATTAAAGCACAACAGTTAGGTATTTTTTTACTACATACACTGCATTTTAGAATGACACATTTTTAGATTTGACCACCTCACATATGTAGATAGATTATTTCATTTTTATAGTTTGTTTTTCTACATTTTGATAAAAATTCAGTGGCAGTTATTTAAATACTGAAAATATATGTGTTGACTATTAGTTTTCTTTAATTTGTTTTTCAGGTTCCATCAGTTCTATTTGTCCCAAGTCATTTAATGTCTCTCTTCACACTTGGGATCTCTTCAGCTGTGGTTTTAGATTCAGGATATAGTGAAACAGTCGTTCTTCCTGTATCCTTTGAAATGGCGGGAAATGTTTTGTTTTTATTAGTGTATTAGAATTTACGAATTAATTTTCACAAACCTAAAACCAGTCATCTGTAGATACACATAGCAGGGTTGTCTACCAGACTGTTTGTCAGGTGTTATAAGTTGTGAGGAACAGGCTAAACCAATATCAATGAAATTTGGTTGGTAATCTCAGTTGGACCACCATCCCCCTAAGGATAAGTTTAAGTGAAAAAAATGGTGGGATGAATGGCTCAAGTATGTATCCATTTCAGTTTTACTGCCTTAATGATACATATGAGGGCTTAACTGAGTAAGGATATTGATAGCAAAATATGTGAAGCTGATGCCAAACAAAAGTGATATTCAATGCTGCTTTTAGCAAGGATATATTTATATCAAATGAATGGATCATGTCTTACACTATGGCTCAAAATAGTAGAAGGGGGCCACTGATCTCCTATTTATAGCATAGCATTTTAAGCCCGGTATTGCCAGGTACTTTTGCAAGTGTAATAAAACGTTAACTCTCAATGTTATCTTACTGTGGTTACTAAAATTGTTTTCATACGTTTAATTTAGTGAATAAAATAAATTTCATATGGCTTATTAAGTAATACACAGTAACTATAATGTATATAACACTAACTTCTGCAAAAACTGTATTGTATTTTGAATATAAACTAGGTGCAAAATGCAATGGGTTGTATAAACAATATTGAGTATAATTTTAAAATTGTATGATAAGAAGTTATAATGTTGCAGGAAAAATGTGCCATATCATAATTGTTAGGACTTTTAATGCTTATAAGTTACATTGTTACAAGAAAGATATTTGAAGCATCCTGGTAATAGGTACCTCATAGTAATGCTTTAACGGAGTGTCATGGTTGGTGATGTTTTTAATAATGAATATCATTAGATGGCCATTGAGAAACCTGAAAGTCAAGAAATTCATTTTAAATCTTAAAAGTTAGAGAGTATTAAGTTTTTCATAATGAGGTCATTAAAAGTCATAAAACAAAATATGTTTTTGATAATTAGTATGCATTTTGTTTTGTCTTTGAATTTTATTGTATTCAAGAATTGACAGCTATTTTATAGCTATTCTTCGAAGTAAATCTATTTTACTTAAGAGTGGATCACTATTTGCAGGCTGTAATTCCTAGGAAATATATTTATTGCAATTCAGTTGATCTACAAGTAAATCACTACTTGAAAGCTGTTCTATCTACTAAATGTAGTCTTAGTGAAATTCATAGATCATTATTTTAAAGTTGATCTATCCCTGTAAATGTGGTCATGAAAAACATCGAGGACAAGTGTTTTGAAAAGGTGTTTGAAGTTCAGTAAGTGTAGAAGTTTTTTTCTGATGATAATCAGATTTATGAAGGTGTGGTAATACTGAATGCATGGCAGGCTTTACCAGTAGCAGCACAAGCCATACACAGGTATAAACCTAAGTCCACTAGTAAGCATAGTAAAGCAATGATCTTAAACTACTTTTAAGTAGATTCTGAAAAACCTCAACTGATTTGATATTTTAAATGTAACATTTAAAACTATCCAGTTTGTGTGCAAAATATGTAATAAATAGAATAACTTTTTTGGTATTTAATTAAAATCACCAAGTTTCAAAATTAATAGTCAATGTATGTATATATTATTTTATGTGCAACTTGACTTTTAGGTTTTAATCATGTGAGATTACAGATATATATGTTCTATAAGAAACTATGTTTTTATATAAAAGCTCAGTTATAAGTTTTAAATGTTATGTTGGTTACCAACAAAAATAAGTACCTTGCTAATTTTTCATTTCTATGTTAAAGTCACTGGAGTTGATCCATGGGTATTTAATCATGTTATAAATAATGATACAATAAAATATGAAAATATTAGTTTCTCAAATGTAATTCTGAAAGCACTTCAGATTGCAAAAGTACCTTTTTGATTTTTGGGTGTGCATTGTTCAGTTATAGGAAGAGCATTAATTGATCAAATATTTTGTTTAATGCATGTGTTCTTTATTTGGTTTGAAATGATTTTTTATATTTGTAGGAGGATTGAAGCAGAAGTAATGGAAAAGGCTAAAGTAAAGACTCTAGCATCAGAACCTAAACCTCTGGGAGAGCTTCTGGCAGGTAATTAAACGTTAAAAAATTTCAGTTGGAAGGATAGCAGTGTGCAAATTTATTATAACGCCTCAACAATTGTCATTTTATGAGCTTTACACACAAAATAGTCATTAATTTGTAATTATTGTAAGTAATATTTTGAAGTTTCTTTAATGCTTGTATTTAGTGTGACCACCTTTGTCATCAGTAACAGCTTGGAATGTGTGTGGCATTGTAGCTATATATCTCAAAGTCTGGTGTAATTTGATTTCATTTTTCCTGAAGCTGTGAACAGAGACTTTCTGTAGTACTGAGTTTGCTTTTCTTGGCAAATAAGCTTGTCATTTCTTTTAATTGTTTGAGGTTATTTTCCCCTTGAAATAATTTTTTCTGGTCTGCTTCTTTGTAAAGGGTATAGTATTATAGACTAGTTTACTATGGTATTAACCATCTCACTGTGGGTAGGTTAAAGTTTGCATGTCATGATCGTTTACAGAGTTACTTTCAAAACTACTTTATTATCAATGTATATGAATAAACTTGGCATTAAAATGTAGCTAATAAATGAAATTTTAATATTATATGAAATTTAAGTTCTTAATTTTATAAGGAAATATTTAACAAAATCCTCAATCTCCTCTGGTATGAGAATTTTGACATTTGTTCTCTAGGTCTTCCCTTTTTTCTAATTTATTTGCCATCCCTCTCTGAAGTACAGAGTTTAATGTAAATTACTCATTATGTAAATTACTGATATTATGAAGGCAAAGTCTAATTTTATAGCCTTCAGTCTAGTTTGTGTATGCAGACAAACTAGAAAGTCAAACCCACTTACTGCACCCACCTGTCATATCCTCTCTTTCACAAATTGTCAATAATTCTATCTGACATATTATATTATATCATTTATAATTAATAGAAAGCCAAAGCTTTAATCTATAAAATGATGTATTACAGTATATAATTTTCAATACGATGTATTATCTATTTCATTTTCAGTTCGAAAGCTTCTTTTGTGGTGTGCAGCTCAAGAAGCTTATGAAATTAATTTAAAGTTCGTATAGAAAGCCAGTTAAATTATGATAATTATAAGACATTGTTTGCTTTGTGTGTGTTATTATTCTGTGTTCAAAGATGCATTAAGTAAATAAAAATTATTTAGTGTACTAGTACCATCAGTACAAAATTTGCATCTTGTTTGGTAGAATTATTAGTTAGACATGGTTCAAAGGGCAATAAAATTAAGTATAACCAGATGTATACTGTTATGAGTTTTAAGTTATTTAGGATAAACAAATGTAGTTTCCTGCAACAATTTGCTGTCATTCTAGAAAGAAAAAATGGTAATTTAGATTTATTTCATATGTTTTTTGGTGGTTACAAGGTCGCTCAAATTAATCAAGTCCATGTTGAATTAGGATAGAGAAAATCTATATACTACTAAAACACTGATATTGTTTGTTTGTATGCTTGTCTGTAATTAAATACAGCAAAAATGGCACACAATAGTGCCATATTTGTAAGAAATGAGAATAGAAACAGAATAAAACAAGTTTCGTTAAGATCGAGCCATGGGTTACGGAGTTAGCCCCGTTTTTTGGGTCACTTTCATGAAAATTTCTAGATTAATTTAGGTACATTAGATGGCGCCACATATCAGTTTATCTATCTATCTATTCGTTTTCCACCTGATGAGTCACTTTGAAATATCTTCTATACAACAATATATGGACAACAGAAATTAAATGATGAGATGAAAATGTATTACATCAGCGTGTAGAAAGAACAACAATAAAATGGACCTACAATATTATTGACTATTTGCAAATAGTAACTATGGAGACGAGGTAATAAAATAAAAATCAAGTCGAGAACAACAACAAAATTTTAAATACGAAAACCTCTCGCCGATTATTGGCTATTATATTATTTCCCTGTCAATGTTCCAATCTTCATTAAAAGGAGTAAGATGACAAAAACAAGATCTTGAAAAAAATACATATATATAAAAGAGGAAGTTTGTTTATTTGTTTATTTAGTTCGTTATAGGAAACCAAACGGTTGAACTTGACTAAATTTTAAAATAACTTCGTAATAACCAGTATTTTTTACAAGTAAATTTTATGGTGCTCTTTATTTTGTATTTGGTATGGTATATAATGA